GTAACTGCCACAGCAGACACATTCGGCCAGGAGAGCGTAGGTCAAATTTACGGCGTCATCTACCTGGTCGGAGCACTGGCCTCACCCCTACCCGACCTGCTGACTAATCTTCTGCTGGACAGCTACGGCTACTCACTGATGTTCCTTCTCGGGGGCATCGCCGCCACTGGAGTCTTTGCATTCACGCTTGCATTCAATAAACGTTCGGCACCATGCATTTCTTGACCTTTGGGGTGCACGACGGTGGTTGCATGGCGAGCCGCGCACTTGTGCGACCCTGCAGTTGCCATCTGGCAGGGCTGGCATAGTCTCCTCACGTGGCAGCACACAGTTGCACGTGTAGGTGGTAGTAAGACGTGAGCCTTTTGTTGTTATGCTGCATGTATGTTTTGAAGTATGTTGGTAGAATAAGTTCTGGTGCCAACACACAAATCCACTTACCAATAGATGGCAATCATCTATTCAATACACTGAAACTGCAGGCATTGTTTCTTGGTCTCCCTCGCGGGACATCCAGACAGCGAAATGCCGGTGTTGACCGCCTCAGCGCAGAACAGTTCATACGATTCCTTCCTTGGGCCGGGATCCATGTCGTGATAGCCTCCGGCGCCGGCGCGCGACGCTCGACATGTCGGCGGCACCAGCTTGCCACGCTCGACATGTCGGCAGTGCCGGCCTGCAAAAATCGGCATGTCGGCAGCGCCAGCTTGCGACGCTCGACATGTCGGCGGTGCCGGCTTGTAAAAATCGACAGGCCGGCGGCGCCGGCTTGCGACGCTCAACATGTCGGCGGGGTCCAGCGATGGCCATTGAGCTGGCCGTTCTCGTCAATGCGGTGTCAGGTAGCCCCCTCGGTAACGACACGCCGGTCGCCAGCGGGGGCTGAAGGTTATCCGGGTCACGGCTGGCCTATTCTATGGAGAGGGGATATTCGGAACTGTGCTCGCTGTCGGGAAGTGACCTGTCGATGTTCGTTCGCGCGTGGCCGCGAAGCGCCCGGGCATGTGCGCGAGGTGATGAGAATTGTCCGGGGGTGGGTTGGTGATGGGGGGTCGTCTGCTGGTGAGCCATTGGCGATGGGAATTGCTTGGTGGTGGGATGATGATGGATGGTGCTGGTTGCTTGGTGGTGCAATGGGAATCGTCCGGTGATGGGTCAAGAACAGTGGGAATTCTCCAGTGATGAGTCATCAGCAATGGGGATTTTCCAGTTATGGGTCATAGGCGATGGGGATTTTTCGGTGGTGGGCCATTGGCTATGAGGGCTATCCGGTGGTCGGTCATCTACGATGGAAATTGTCCGGTGGTGGGTCATTTGCAGTGAGGATTGTCCGGTGGTGGGTCATCCGTGACAGCCGGTGCGACAGCAAGCAGACCGTTCTTCACCCGGACAACCTGTTAACATTACCGACAGATTTGCACCGTTGATAACACAAACCTCGGTACGACATTTCACCTCGGTTCTAATCTGATCAGGTCTGAGGACAACCTCGTCTTTTAATCACCGAGACAATTGAAACAGCGCATACAGCGTCACCATACTTGCCATGCTGAGAAAAGGTTGGCAAACGATGCGTCATGCTCTAGGGCTCACGAAAGGTGAGCAGGCCTCAGGCCTCCAAAGACAGGAAAACATGTTCAAGATGAGGGCTGGTCCAACGCCTCAGCGGTGCGCGGCCGATACTCCCGATAGCGACATCGGACCGTTACCAGAAACCCCGTGACGCCCGGGCCGGCTCCCAATCACGTCCAATGTAATAACAGTGGCCTCAAAAGCTCGTCTCCGACTCGACCAGGGCACGCTCCTGACTAGGGTCGATCGAGACACGACCCTGAATCAATCAGAGAACGTCCCGGATATGATCGGGACACGACTCTGACTTAGTCAGAGAACATCCCGGATAAGATCGGGGCACAACCTTGACTCAAGCAGAAAATATCCCGGACAAGATCGGGACACAACTCTGACTCAATCAGAGAATGTCCCGGATAACATCGGGGCACAACCTTGACTCAATCACAAAATATCCCGAATAAGATTGAGACACGACTCTGACTCAATCGGAGAACGTCCCGGATGCGATCGGGACATGACCCTGACTCAGTCAGAAAACGTCCCGGATACGATCGGGACACGACACTGACTCAATCAGAAAACGTCCCGGATACGATCGGGACACGACCCTGACTCAATCAGAGAGCGTCTCGGATACAATCTCAGTCGCCTTTGAACATTGACGCGCACGCGTCGTTGATACCCACCATACTGCGTCACAGATGGCCTTAAACGGAGCATGGTACCTGGCTGTGAGCTCGTGTGTTTCAGTTGTGATACCAGTAAGTGACATTGGTTTCTCCGCAGAAATCGGCTTGAGAGATTGCCCAAATGTGCTCATACCTTTATCGATTGTATTTTATCAAGTTTTTCTTCGTAACACTACACCGTTAATGCGTCCATGCAGAATTCCCAGTTTCTCAATCTACGATGATTACGATAATTGGCGTTTCAGGGTGCGCCGCCGTCGGGGTTCTTTTGCGCCCAGCACAGCATTGCCAGTTGCTACGACGACTTGTATCACGCGTGCGCGCCAACAACCTGTGAATTTGTTCTCTCTAGCTCTGTTAGAGATCTCAGGGGGTCAAACTGACCACCCAACCGAGCGAAGGGTGCCCAACCGGCCATTCGGGCGCGTGATATCAGTTTTGCCTCATAGATTTGGCCATGAGTAGGTAAGCAAGCTTTGGCAAGCTTTACACGCGAGTGCATATGCTTACAACATGAGGACTTGCGTTCAGCCGTTTTCGGTCCTCAACGGTTGAGCTCGTTCTCTCACCTTTCTCAGCCTTTTTCTCACCGGCTAAGAGTGCGCGGAGATAACTAGCACGGGACAACGAAGAGGTGATCATCCTCTGGCAAAGACCAAGGACAAGTGTACACTGCGCGCATAGGCATACCTGATGCGTGCAAGGAGTTTGCGTCCCTACCCATCCTTTGTGCTCTTTTACCCATCGCGTTGCGAGAGGTTGGGAGCAAGCGAAGCTGACGCAGTAACTGCCCCGTACCCGGGATAAGGCTGGCAATATGGCCATGCTGCAACTTTTTCCGTGTGTTGAAATGTCCGCAGCATGTCGAAATGTGATGACAACCCCGCAGGGATTCCCCAATATGTTGGGAAACCTCGCCTCGTTCCACCGCAGCCCGGTGGTCGTCACAAAAGGTGGGCCTTCCGCCCACCTCGGTGGAAAATTCGGATATGAAGCCTCGCAATGACCATCTCGGTGATGTAGAGCACAATAAAGCAAAGCGAATGCCTCAAGAATGGTCGGAAGGGGACACCACATCTCAAATCAAGGCCACATCCAATAACAGGAGGGACGCAGCTCGGCCGGCCGGCGACGTTTCAAGCCTCAAAATGATGACGGAGGCTCAGCCGGCGTCCTCGCTTTTTGGACGAGCGCAGGGAGGCCTGGACTGGGCTGCCAAGGTAGGCGATCATGGGGCGTTCGTGCGGCGATTCCTGAGGAGAAAGGACGCCCGTTCTGAAGCGGGCGACATCTCTTTGCCCCGGGGACCGAATTGAAAGCAGAGCGTGGATGCAGTGTGCCCCCAGCATCTCTAGTAGCTCATTCATTGTGGAAATCCATCTATTATACTCACATAATATTCATATATACACTCGGTATCCCACCTATTCTATCATACTCATTATTTGTACCCGCATTGCCTTTCACTTTCTCCTCAACCACATCACCGCGGACACTTGTTGACTGCACGAGAGAGGAGCGCGACTGGTGTTACCTCTGCCCCGTGCGTGAGCGATCATGTGATCGCGGCGTCACGAACAAGACGAGGTCCGGTGCTGGCGCCGGGAGAGGCGAGAAACATAGGGACGGCAGGGAAGCTACTGAGGTCGGCTTGTTGTACTCGATAGCTGGCGACTGCCTGTCTCATCAGACAGGTGTTACTGTCCTGTCTGGTCGAACGGGATCCCTCATGTTTGTCAGAGCAACCGTCCCTCTTCCTGTCGGTATGAACAGCTATTACTCTCCTGCCTGTCCGAACAGCTATTCCTTTAAGCTGTCTGCCCAGCTAGTCATTCATCTCCTGTCCGTACGAACAGCTATTCCTCTCTTCTGTGTAGGCCAGCCGCCCCTCATTTGTCCACCTGGATAGCTGCCCTTCTTATGCTTTTTTAGACTGAGCTTGATATTCTGGCTGTCTGGCAAACTGCCTTTTTCCCGTTTGCTTACACACCTGTCCAATTCCTATTTCTTAAAAAAACTTCTACGCTTCTATCCGTTTGTACAGCTGTGGTTCTCCGAGCTGTCTGGACGGCTGTTTTCTTCCTGTCTGCGTCGGACAGCTGTCCCTCTCCCGCATGTCCGGCCAGCTGACTGTCCGTCGTCTGCTGGCCGCCGACTGCTCGGCTGGCCCGGGTCGATAGGACGCCCCGCCACCGCCGCTCCCGTGACCGGTCTCCGGCCTCAACAGCGCCGGCGACGACCGTCCGACCAAGGTTCGACACCCAAGGGCGCACCCACACTCGGAAAGGCGCTGAAACCCGCCGACGCAGCAAAGCCCAGAGAAGCGCCGACGCCCGGAGGCGCGCCGGCACCCAGAGAAGCACCGACACTCGGAGGCGCACGGGCACCCAGAGAAGCACCGACACTCGGAGGTGTGCGGGCACCCAGAGAAGCGCCGACACTCGGAGGTGTGCGGGCACCCAGAGAAGCGCCGACACTCGGAGACGCACCGGCACTCAGAGAAGCACCGACACTCGGAGGTTGTGCGGGCACCCAGAGAAGCGCCGACACTCGGAAGTGTGCGGACACCCAGAGAAGCGCCGACACTCGGAGACGCACCGGCACCCAGAGAAGCACCGACACTCGGAGGCGCACCGGCACCCAGAGAAGCGCCGACACTCGGAGGCGCGCCGGCACCCAGAGAAGCGCCGACACTCGGAGGCGCGCCGGCACCCAGAGAAGCACCGACACTCGGGGGTGTGCGGGGACCCAGAGAAGCGCCGACGCTCGGAGACGCACCAGCACCCAGAGAAGCGCCGACACTCGGAGACGCACCGGCACCCAGAGAAGCACCGACACACGGAGGCGCGCTGGCACCCAGAGAAGCACCGACACACGGAGGCGTGCCGGCACCCAAAGAAGCACCGACACTCGGAGGCGTGCTGGCACCCAAAGAAGCACCGACACTCGGAGGTGCACCGACACCCAGAGAAGCACCGACACCCGGAGGCGGGCCGGCACCCAGAGAAGCACCGACACACGGAGGCGGGCCGGCACCGAAAGACGCACCAATACCCTAGCCACGCGCAACGCCCTGAAACAGGGTCAAGAGGCGCGCCGACATACTCCATTGTACGAACACCTCAGCGAGGGGCCGACACCACAGCACAGTGCAGACATACCAGCGGGGACAGTAACAGGTCACATTGTTGTGCGTCACGTGCGCTGGTCCCATTGTTAACTCATCAACGCATCATCACAAACATCACATCAACATTTACAAGACACATCGACACGTCAACATCCCAGAGGCAAATTGTTTTACTGACAAAGACGAACATCCGGCGATGAACCAAGACTCCAGCGACAGGGGAACAGTCAGAGAGACACATCAACACTCCAGCGACAGGCCAATAGTCAGAGATACACCAACGCTCCATCAACAACCCAACAGTCAGAAATGCACCAACACACGAGCGACGCACTGGTGCCTCAGCAACGTTCAACAATGTGTTGGCACTCAGACGCAGTTAATGTTAGCTCAGCACGGTACGCTATGGCACGTCGGGCCAAGGCAGTACACTCGACCACCGCGTACCAAGCCGGCAGTTTCGGTCGCGGTGGCCAAGACGTCCGGTTGGGCAGACTTTAAGCCCCTGGGTCGTGCACGCAAGGATGTTGGAGGTTGAGTTGATCGCCTTTGATCCGACTCTCAGTGCTGTGAGCATATGACACTCAGGATACCCTTACCCTTATTCAAGGGTAAGGGTTTCTCGCCTTCATCCACCCGTTTTGCGAGATATTTCATCCTCTCCTCGCCCCGCCTGCCATCCGTCCCAGTCTTACGTTTTCGTAATGCGCCTCTTTTCCAGAGATCCCACTATAAATTATAAAACACTTTTGCTCCCACCCGACAGCGCTTCGCGCAAGCAAGAGCTGGTGGCAGGTGTGCAGCTATCCCCCCCCCCCCCGCCGTCTCAGAACTGAACAGAGCTAGAAAAAAAATGTAGCACCGTCGAATGGCCAGTACAATTCTGAACAGGACTTGAGGAGGGCATCTTTCCGGACTTCCGATCAAAGTCGCGGTCTGCTCCTTGCTATAGCTTACATCCCATCACGAACATGATCCACGCTGTCATGTTATGATGCGTGAAGTGCCACCACAGCGAAACGCTGAGATCCAAGCGCCCCCCCCCCCCCCCCCCCTCTCCACCTCTCACAATGCAACGTGTCTAGTTCCCGTCGGGGCCAGTGAACCCGCGGCACACGGATCACCCGTGCGATCTGGCAGCTGAAGTCGGCTGCCAACTGCGGACACCCTGCCCGATAGCGCCACTCAGACGCCTCTCAGCGGTCCGGGTGTGCTGGAAGTCTTTAGGGGAATCGTTCGGTTGGAAGAGAAAAGTTTGAAGAGTTAGAAGAGTAAGAACTCGAAGAATTTGATTGGATGGCGTTTAAAGAAACGTTTCGATCTGCTGTCCCGGTGCAACATTCTAAATAGTTACCCTCTGAGATAACCATTATTTTCTTGAGCTACATTGAACTTATAAAAATTTGGAATTGGTCGTGGTCTTTCACGCAGAATTGGAGTTCTGGTCTTGTGATAGACAGAAAATAGTTCACAATACAGTGTTCTTTATATTCACGTTGATGTCCCCAAATACAAGAGATGAGTGTTTATGGATTACAATTTTTAAAGATGGGCATTGAGACTGGAATCTTCTATTTACAGCTAAGTATATCATATACATTGGTCTAAGTAAGAAAGGCTTTCAGCTCATTCTTTGTCGGTATTATAATTCAAAATTTTATGCCGAGTTGCGACCTTCAATGTACCAATGGCGAAACAGTGTTATGGAGCAAACGCTGGTTGCAAGTGACAGTACCCAGCGGTTCATGTTGTTTTATGATCACACGCGATCATCAGCACATCGTCCAAAAATCATCCATCATCCATCACATCATCCGAAGCTGTGTTACGTTGGACCCGCAGCGCGCAGCATCACCAGTGTATCCCCGGCTGAAACAGCGGGAAGACTGGTGAGATGTCACCTCCAGCGGGGATAGTTCCTGGGGTGCTGTGCATAGGCTTTGCCATACGTCGGGTTTTCACAAGCCTTTGAACGGGAGAGGGGGGGGGAGGGGTGGCGTCATTGGTGTCGCGACTTCAATGTCACGCAATCGCTACCCGTGGGACGCGACGCCGGCGGACAGCCTGAGCGTCGTAGACCCTCGCACGGATGATGAACAAGCTTTTAGCGGGAGGTGTATATCACCGTCGAGGCGGTTACGTAGAATGTAATGACACATATGATAATGTGCTTTGGTATAGATATGTGAAATACTTGGTAATGAAATACTATCATCAGGTGCCATGCAAAAGCATGGGAAGTGTAAATGTACACACGGAACTTATACGAGATAGTACAACAGGAACATCGGGCTCTATTCGTATGGATAATGAGCAAACTGCTTGCAGTAGGTTTGTGGACCCGCGAGCCAGTCGCGGATAATTTAATTCCAACTGTGATGGTGTGCGCATGCAGCCAGCCACTACAATGAAAACGGCATGGAATTAAAAAAAAACTTACGCCAAAAATGCTGCAGAGATGGGCCGTCAGGATATCGGACTGCCTTTGTAACAACAATAAACAAACTGTTGGGAATGGCTACATGGAACCGAATACGTATGGCTGCAGGAACCGAATGCGTATGGCTGCAGGAACCGAATGCGTATGGCTGCAGGAACCGAATGCGTATGGCTGCAGGAACGAATGCGTAATGTGCTGCAGGAACCGAATGCGTATGGCTGTAGGAACCGAAATGCGTATGGCTGCAGGAACCGAATGCGTATGGCTGTAGGAACCGAATGCGTATGGCTGCAGGGAACCGAATGCGTATGGCTGTAGGAACCGAATGCGTATTGCTGCAGGAACCGAATGCGTATGGCTGCAGGGAACCGAATGCGTATAACTAATGGGGATTATGATGATATGCTAATTGCAAATGCTGAATGCTCAGCGGTTAAAAATGCAATCAGCGTAAATAGCAAAAAAGGTGCATACGCGCGGATTGTTGAAGACAATCCGCTGAACGAATGAACATCTGAGGTCCATTCGATGAATATTTGACTACCATCCTCACCAAGACAAGTAACATTACGAATGCTAGGTGCGTATATCCGCAAACTGTTCAGGTGGAATTAAAGTGCAATGATGAACATGTGCTCTGTGAGCTTACATTTAGCAACGCCGTTAAAAACCCAAGTGGCGTGTAAGTGAATACAGCCACGCAGATGCGTGTTTACTACCGAGGGGTGTGAGTAAAATTTATTAAAGTTTAGAATGCATACCATGGACCTTAATTGGAAAAAGTGACGAATATGACTATCGCCCCCTCTCCCCTCCTCAGCCCCCAACTAAAAAAAAACACTTCCGCTGCCCCTGTGTCTATGCGGGAGCCGGCTAGCACGCTATGCCGAGCGCCGATCGTAAATTGTTTTTAATAGATTAAGTAGAAAAAGTGTTCCGGCAAGCTACATTAAACACGGAAACCCAATCTTTTGATACGAGGCACACATATTACCGTGGAAGGCTGAGGTGAGTGACGACCGACGCCAAAACATAGCACACCCGGCTCAGCTAGCCGTGAACCCGGCTCACACATGTACGCGTGTTGAGCACAGGTTGTTTAGACCCCTTTGCTCCTGGCCCCTCTGTTGCCATTTACCCCTTTGCCCCTTCGTGCCTCTTTCTCTCTTTATTGGACATGCTGCCCAAAGCAAACCTTGGTCAGCGGTGGAGCAAGTGTTATTATTGAAGCGCACTGACACTCGTGTAAAACACACAGAGATTCATCCGTTACACAAACGTTGCTTTGACTAAAACGAGTTATCATAGATACATATTGCGTTATGCACCCCAGTTTGGCTATCCATAATTATACCCCCATGCTACTTTGACATTAAATATCACAACACGCATAAACACCTCAAGAACGTAACATAGATGGCTCGACACTGACGGTGACTGCGCAGACAGACAGGGACCGGACAGTGGACACTGAACTGGACAGGGATCGGACACTGTTGACGCCGCGCACAGGTGCGAAGTAGGCGCGGCCAGCCCTTCAGACAAGCAGACCGAGCACGCCGGAATGTGGCTGGTACGGACCGTGCACGGCGGGATGTAGGCTGATGCAGACCGTGCACGCCGGAATGTAGACGAATACGGACCGTGCACGGCGGGATGTAGGCTTATACGGACCGAGCACGGTGAATGTATGGAACGGTGAAGGCACGAACGAGGCACGGATTATTTGGCAAATCAGGCGCAGAAAACTGCGGCAGGCAACAGGCTCGCCACGCTCACCGCTCACTCGCGCCACCGGTAGCGGCGGTGACCACTGCGTGTGAGGTCACGTAAGATAGAAGTGCATTGTAATGACTGGCCGCTGAAGGTTGCCATGTACACCATCAAACCAGTCGCTAATTTGCGCAATCGATTCGCTGGTCATAAATATTGTTCGTTGTCGGTACGAAGACAGCCCTACGTTTCTGCCGATCATAGGCGAAAAGGGCCTCCGTATGTACGTCTTCACTGCTCAGGCCGTTGCACCTTAACACGCGCCCGGGTGGCCGCTTGGATAGGTACCCTTCGCCCGGGCAGGGAGTCAACCTGACCCCCCTGAGATCTCAGGAAAAAAAGAGAGCTGGAGACACCAAATTCACAGGATGTGCTCACCTGCACGTGAACTCA